ATGACCTCCTTCCCCCATCCGTCCCTATAAGGATGGGGGGGGGTTGGGGTGGTCGTGAGGGGGATCCCGTGACCCCATAAACCCCCCCATCCCTTCCAACGACCCCCCCCCCCACACACTCACTCCACAGGGATGGGGCCCACCGTCCATTCCAGCTCCACGAAGCGCCGCCCCGCGTGCAGCCGCACCGCCTGCCAGCACCACGGCGAGAAACGCTGCTGCAGCTCCTGCAGCTGGGGGGTCTGGGGGGGAAGACGGGGGGGTGGGCCATGGGGGGACGCCTCCAACACACGGGGACACCCCCCAGGTAATGGGGCACCCCAAAGCCATGGGCACACCAACCCGTGGAGACACCCCCAGGTATGGGATGCCCCAGAATTGCTCGTGGGTTCGCCCCACAACCATTGGGATGTCCCACAGCCACAGGGGCACCCACAGGTATGGGGTACCCCAAACACCCCCCACGGAGACACCCCACAGCCATGGGGATACCTCCAAGCCATAAAAACACCCCCAAAGCCATGGGGACACCCCCAACCCATAGGAACACCCCCAGCCCATAGGAACACCCCCAACCCATGGGGACACCCCACAACCATGGGACACCCCAAACCCCACTATGGGGACGCTCCCAACCCATGGGGACACCCCAAAGCCACGGGGACACCCCAAAGCCATAGGAACACCTCCAACCCATGGGGACACCCCACAACTGTGGGGACACCCCACAACCATGGGACACCCCAAACCCCACTATGGGGATGCTCCCAACCCATAGGAACATCTCCAACCCATGGGGACACCCCAGAGCCACAGGAACACCCCCAACCCATGGGGACACTCCACAACCACGGGGCACCCCAAACCCCATCATGGGGATGCTCCCAACCCATAGGAACATCTCCAACACATGGGGACACCCCAAAGCCACAGGGACACCCCAAAGCCTTAGGAACACCTCCAACCCATGGGGACACCCCACAACCCATAGGAACACCCCAAAGCCACGGGGACACCCCACAACCACAGGCACACTCCATAGGCATGGGACACCCCAAACCCCACTATGGGGACGTTCCCAACCCATAGGAACATCTCCAACACATGGGGACACCCCAAAGCCACGGGGATACCCCAAAGCCATAGGAACACCCCCATCCCATGGGGACACCCCCCACCCACCTTCACCACAGAGGTGCTGACTCGCCCCGACCCCACAACAGGAATGGGGTGGGAGCTGTTGGGACGGAAGATGTAGGCGCCCGACGCCTGTGAGCTGTCCTCGTTCCCAATGCTGGCGTTGTACCTATGGGGCCAGGAGGAGGAGGATGAGGATGGGGGAGGTGATGAAGGCCCCCCCCCCGCGCCCC